AAGTGATCACCCTCGCACAAACAAACATAGATTGATCCAGGTAGTAAAAACAATTTCCGCGTTTAACTCATCCTAAATGGAAGAAGTGAGATTTTTTTTTCTGTCGATTAAAATTGGTGGAATCACGTGACACCCTGCACGCTATATTAAGTCTTAAGTTACATGAAGAAAGCTTCGCATGAGGAGGGACTGCCTCTCCTGGCACTTTTCTTAGTTCTTTCAAAGTCGCCGATTGTTGTGTGTCAAGACCACAATGAAGTCCAATGCAAAGCTGACTTTCTGGTTTTCAATGTCCGTTTTATTTCTCCGTGTTGCTACACACCTGAGAGGTAAGTTGAAGTGAAACGCTTCTATGAACAATGACATCTGTGCCCTTGTGTTTATCTCTGGACCGTGCACCTCCAGCTGTGTGTCCATGACTGGATCAAGGACACACATGGTTTATATTAACTGACTCTAGTATTTCATTACTGATCTTCACATAGCTGGGTGACTGTAATTTGATGGAAGCTACAAATAAATAAGGACATTCTGCTTATTGCAACTATAAGTATTTTTGAAATCTGAAATATTAGATTTCATAAATCATGAAGCTTTATGTTATGATTCTCACTGATTTCTAATATCCTGACAGCACCTGTAGTCCACACAAAGCTTGGGACCCTGAAAGGTGAGTATGTGAGTGTGAAAGGGAAGGAGACTGGCGTCCATGCCTACCTGGGTGTCCCATTTGCTAAACCACCCCTCGGCCCTTCCTTGAGACTGGCTCCACCTCAGCCTGTAGGAGGATGGGAAGGAGTAAGAGATGCCACTAAACAGCCACCAATGTAAGAAACATGTGCTTCAGTTGCTGTAAAACACAGTTTGAAAAACATCCAGCATTTATTAAATGTTTTTATTTTTCAGGTGCATACAACCTAAACGATTTGCTTGGGCACTGCTTGATAAGCTCGGTTTCTTGCTGGCTGATATCCCAGACATCTCTGAAGACTGCCTTTACCTCAACATTTACACTCCTGCTAAAAGAGCTGATGATGCCAAGCTCCCAGTAAGAACCTTTTGCTGTAGGTTTTGAGCCTTGCTGGTCATTGCTGAAGAAAATTTCAGTGACAGTTGGTTTCCTTTTAAGGATTTTCATATGACATAAAAAAACACCCTCTTTTAGAGCCAGTTGCAATGGGTTTGCCTT